CCATAATATATACCACTCCCTGTAAATAGAGATAGGCTGTAGCTGGATGAGCATATGCCCCACACTAGTACATGCTAAAGCCCAAACTCAGACCAGTTTCTGCATTCCAAGAGGAAATACATGGGGAAGATGTTACCGGTGAAAACATACCTAGTCCTGTAGTTAAAGTCACACTAGAACGCAGTGCAGTGGCTCCAATGTGTCACAAAGTCCTATATCTACCTCAACCCCTTCCCTCTACCTGTCCACAGAAGTTGTACTGCTGAAGAGTAACACACAGGCTCTCATGCACCACTCACAAAACGGATGAAATCTTGCACCTTAAGATTTGGTTTCACTAATTCTAACTCTAAACATCCTAGTGGTCAATAGTTTTACCCTATTCAAGTATTCAAAGTCATGCTCATTGATTTTGTAAGAAAATGACCAAAACTCACAGCACAGCAAAGAAATTCAGTGCTTTTTAAAACCATAAAGTGGTTATAAAACAATTCACAAAGTGATTAATAAAATGTGGGTTTTGAAGATTTGTACCATCTCTTCAGTCCCACTGATAGTAAGCAAATAACGCAAAACCAACAGTACAGAGTTTAGATAACATTGATAACAAGCTATAGATCAGCTACTACATGTCTAATGAAGTAAAGTTAAACCGACAACACCAAGGAAATTCAGCAGTAAGAAAACAAGTTTTCCTCTGATGAGTATAGAAGAACTTGCAATAGACATCTATCTCACTGAATTAACTTCTCCCTAGTTACAACAGTTCTACTGGAGAGTCAAGGAATGGGGTTTGTAACACATGGGCTCAATCTGCATTCAGGCAAAACTCCCATCACAATAATTGGGACTCTCTCCTACAGCTCTGATTCTGAAAACGCTTACACATGTGCCTAACTTCAAGCTTAAGTAGCCCTACTGAAGCCCACAGGACCACATGCTTGAAATTAAACCCACATAAATTTGTGGGCTCAGAGCCTAAAGAGGGAGGACAAAACTGAGCCTTACATGAACAATTGCTCAGAGTTTCCAAGAGGAATTGCTTACAACAACTCACATTAAGGCTGCAGTGACTAACTCTTCTAGTCTCTTCATTTGCCCCAGCTATTTCCTGAATAGTTCCAGGCTCTTGTGGGCCAGGCAAAAAAGAGATATCCTCACAGCCTTAACTAACACCAGAATCCATGCATTATATGATCAGTTTTGATCCAGATCAAGTTTTACACTTTATCAAATGGCATAAACATCTAATATGGTAATGCCAGACCTGTATTTATTACTGCTTTAGTAGATGGGGACATATGCTTGTAATGGTAACACACTGTCATTTGGAAGGGAAAGGATCATTTTGTGACAGGCAAATTATTGCTCTACCTCGTTAAGAATGTTATGTTCCTGTGCTGAGTTAAGACATACCAATTGCAAAGTGGTAATCATCATAATATCATCAAGATGTTGCTATATTTGAACATGATATGAGCTCACCACCAGATCAGTCCATTGTCACCTACCAGCCTGGAGTACAGGGAAGGCACTGCTCTAACTGACTCATGCACAGAGGGGGGGAAAAAAGTACCTACTATGAGAACCTACCAGGAGATGTGCTTAATAATTTGTTTCTAGAAGCCTGTGATTTTAAACTGAAGGGTGGAATATTATGGAAGTTTCTGAGCCTGCAAAGAAAAGCGTCTGATTTATCCAATACTGCAATCTGTCTACAGCATCTAATTATGTGATAGCTGCTATCTGAAAAAAACACACAAATCTGCAAGCCTGCATTAGTTACTTGCTAGACTATTTTGACTGAGAGTCGAAAAGGTCACTATAGCCATTTGGACTCCTTTTCCTGCTAGCCAGCTCAGGCAGACTTTGTTTCATGAAAACTTGTCCCCTCCTAAAGAACAAGCCTTCAGGTGCAGCAGAATTGTCTCTGACAATCAGAAGTGCCACAAAGGGCTCAAAGCCTCTTACATTTGATGAAATTCTCTCTCACATTAGAATGTGTAAGCATTTAATACATAGAAAGTTGAAAAACATTTTCTCAGTGATCTTACTGGAATGGGAGTTCTTCAGTTATGGACGGTGATGTGTTTCTAGAGATTCTAAAACAGTACCAAGTGACAGAAAGCATCTCCCTTGTTAAATCTTACTCATAGAACTGAAAGTTCATTTGTGACATTGAAGAAAAAGGTTTCATCTGCCCCTCAATGCCTTTGAAACTCCTGCAAACATGGTGACACAGAGCTGCACAGCGATTCCCAGGACCTCACGGATCACTGTGAAAGGAAGAAACTTGTTCTCTTCTTGCAAAGCCTGCTCACTCGAGCACTTGTTGGTCATTTTCTTATTACCTTTTCTCCTACACAACAAAATGACCTCATACAGACTGGAGAGGAAGTATGTTTTCCTATGCCCATAACAGCACAGGCACTTCAGTTACACTGCATCTAAAGACATGTAATTTCTTTCTTGGAGACCCTAATACAACCTTTTTCAGTTCTCCTTAGCAGGAGCTTATCAATTAGATAAGTCAAGATTTACATTTGTATTTACCTGCAAATTCTGTTTTAATTTACCTATCACACATTTAGCAATATCTAATGATCAAACAGAAATTTTAAGATTTTAAAACTAAAAGAAACCTGTCATTTACTTATGCGTTTGGCAATCATTCAGCTTCACAGCTGAATGATGGCATACCACCCCTTCTGCCTGTGTCCCATTCTTCTGCCCATGGACAATCTCATCTAACTTCAGATCCTTGCCCTTCATTGTTTTAGGCTTTCTTGTCCCTCAGCTACAGCTGTGGAGAATTAAGCACAAAATAAAATGAAGAACACAGAATCTGTAATCTGCTCCTAGATATTTCTCCACCACTACCGCAGTGGTTTCCCATGATGAACCAGAGGAGCTTACTGCCATTAGACAACTGGAACCAGCACTTCCTTTTCCTTGAATATCTCCTCAGGAGTAAAAACAAAATAGGAAGGAAAGAACTGAAGAAATTGGCCTCTTCTTCTAAAGGGATCCTGTGCTTATAGATACCAGCTGTTTCTCTAGTACAGAATCAGCTGTGTTAGTACCATCTTATTCTGCAAAGAAGTCTTAGAAATGGTTCTGCCTGATGCTAAGGAGAGATGATAGCTTCATCTGACCAAAAGCAGTTCTGAACATCACCTGAGATGTTAGTTGGTCTTAGAAGCAATTCTCTGTTTCCACACTCACCTGACTGTACCAGTCTTATATGGGATCTTTGTTGGATCCCTGCTGAAGACAACAGAAACTTGGGACCTCAGACTTTAAATTAGGAATACTGACATCCTTTCCTCCTCATGATACAGCTAAAATAAAACACATGTAACAGCAATACTTCTAGTATCAGGCATTTTAAATGCAACTACGATTTCCTGTAAAGGAAGTCAGTTCTTTCACCCTGATTTACTGCACTGACAAAGGAACCTCCTCCTGATTTACATTACAGTATGTGAATGAAAAATTGGTACCATATATGTCAAAACGTTACCTGATGGATTTTTTCAGAACAGGAGCTTAGACCACAAATATCTTTAATGAAATCTAAAACCAGAGGAGTGAATTTAAGCATCTAATTTATTAAGAGCGAAACCTTCAAGGCTGAAGGCTGTATGTCACTGATGCAGGATTCCAAAGGAAACTGAATTTTTCACCAGGATTTTAGCACCATAGGAAAATGTGACAGTAGTAATAATACATGATATTATATACTGCTAGACAAGTTGGATAAATTACATCTGCTACTGAATAGATGTGGAAAGAGTCTCTATTAGAAAACTTCCTGCTGGGTCACAAACATACATCAGTAACGGTTTGTTTTCAGCACAAGAAAAATTGCCATTGTCATATTCCAAAGTGAGTGTAAATTGTTTTATTATAAACTCCCTGTTGGTCCCTGTTTAACTGAGAAATCATTCAATCTAAATTTATCTTTTCTCTCCATGGCATTGCTATGTTGGTATCACTAAACTCTGCCTCAGTAACAAAACCCCTACTCCCTTAAAAGACAGACTGTACTCCTGATCTTCAGAAACCGTGCCATACATTAACTCTTGGTTTGCCCCCACTTACTTTGAGTTGTAATCCAGGGCTCTCAGTTTCATGAAGTCAAGGCTTCGTTGTTACTGATTCACAAGAGAAGCCCTACAAATTTCCACTATGCTTCACAATTAGACATTTATATTTTACATGGTTGTATATTAATACATAAATTTGAAAACATAAAACATATTTACATAACTTCCTGTAGCTTTAATAGAGAGAAAACCCTAGTCCAGATGAGCAATGATAGCTATTCCTATTCCTGCCATCCTCCATTCAAATCCCTATTGAATTTGATTTCTGAATTAGCTGACCTGTTCAAATAATCACACAAAATAACAAAATCCAAATGATGTACACAAAACAAGTACGTGGCCTTTGCATTTTTCACCTTCTCTCACATTTTTAGCATCTGACGGAAACAGGATAAATGACAAAGACCCAAAGAGAACCACAAAACTACCACTCAGCCATCACAGAGGCTCTATTTAGCTTGAGAAGGTCTTACTGCTGTTCCCAAGAGCTCCACCAAGGAAAACTTTGTTGAAGATGTAATTTTTCATGCTTAATGCCATAAACTGTCAACCCGTTTGAACAAAATCAAACCCACCACACATAGTGTCACAAACACCTCTATTTTATCAACAAAAGCACAGCTGGGGAAAGGGAATGAATTTGGCCCCGCAGTAAATATTTCTCTGTTAAAGATTAAAAGTATGATACTTGCATTTATTTGTATTGGCAATATTATAGGTTTGATTTTAATATGTAAACACCTGCCCACATTCATAAGGGGACAGAGCTGTTGAAAACAAAACAGGAGGATTTCTTTCCTTTTCCTTAGCTGGTCATTACAAAGAAGAAAGGCATCACACAGTACTTCCTCATTTAACCTCTGGGGAATAGGAATATACTTTGTAACTCACCACACTTCACTGGAAACATGGAGCAATTTGTATGCTTTCTTTTAGAAAGGAGGTTGAAAGGCAGGATGTTACTAGAATATAAGGTGATCCAGTCTTTCCTGTATCCAGCTCGTCCACATTCTCACTGCCCAAAGTGTGACGTGCAAAGGCAGGCCAAGCCAGGTGATAGGCGCTGCCTCAGAAGAAAGCAGGAAGGCAGAACTGCTTCTCTAATGATGCTAATCAAGTGCACCCTTAAAGCATATCATTCATTCCTCTTTGATAGGGTTTTCCAGAAGAGGGAAACTAAGGAAGTGCACAGCATAAGAGTGACTCCTTTTGTTCCTTTTTATAAGTAAAAAAAAACAATCCATGATTTACTGGGTGTGAAAACCAGCATTCCTTCCAAATCTCTTTATAATGGGATTCTTTCAGTTCTTCTCCTGCACCAGGATTTTTATCAGGAGAAAGTAGAAGCCACAAGTGGTGAAAAACAATAGTTTACTTCCAGATGACTATGGGGTCTTCTTCCAAATTTAAAAGGGAGTTTGCCCATTATTGTTTGTAGAAATGTAGGTGTTTCTTTGCAAAGTGGGTGTTAAACCATGGCTTTCACCCAGCTGAAACTGAGTAAGGGTTACTTTCCTATGAGAGGAAAGGGAACCTGAGTTTGCCACCACCCTTCTCTTGCCTGAGTGCTGGTTTTCAGTTCAGCAGCATGTGATGGAGGAGCTGTGACTGTTCCTGATGCAGCCTGCTGCTCTCCACCGGCAGCCAGTAGGTCCCAGATAGCCCAGCTGGGGCTAATTTAAGAAGTCTTGGGTGCAGCAATAATCTAGCAGCAGGAACTGTGTCATTGTGGAGGTTCTTCTGGATGCAGAACTGCAGGTACGGGCTGAGACCTGTCTTGAAGATGAGCTTCCATCAGATCCTGGAAGAGAGTTAATCTTCAGCAGGAACCTCAGAAGTTAAGAGAGGGACAGGAGATTTAGCTGTACCCTGAATTTTCAGCGTCTCCTGTATACTGTATTATCCTGAAGTTCCCCTAACCTAAAGTGAGATAAAAATTAAGACTATTTGTAATGAAAAGCAGTGAGAAGTATTCCTGCTACTGGCTTGTCTTTCCTATTGGGAAAAGCAGTATGTGAAGTATTACTAGATAGTTTGTTATAGCTGCATGATATCTGTTTATTAGAACCCAGTGATGTAACTAGGGAGCATAAACACTTCATTTGCCAATAAAACTATTGCTACAGAAAAGCACACATCACCACAGTTATAGCCTTCATCTGGGTATGTTCCAGAGAGATTTACACTGGACTAATCAACAATTTGTGGGTTTTCTGTCAAAAAAAATCAGCGTCTCATGATATTTAAACATAACTTTAATCTTCCTTTGGACAAGCATCTAAAAATGAAAGAAGAAATGATGCATTTGAATCTAAGAGCCTTACAGGAAAAAATGATTTTCTATTAATCCAAGTCAAGAACACACCAGAAATGCATCCAAAATGAATTATGCTTGGTGGTAGGATCTCACTCAGTCCAAAGCTACCAAAATCAGAAATCTCTTAATGAAATATAACTGTATAATTCAGATGCAAAAAGGATGAAGGTGTTCATCTTGTGAGAAAAGCAGCACAGACACCCCATTAAAGGAGAGATTAGAGCTGGAAGATGCAAGTTAGGAAACCAATACAGGTCAAATAGGAATAAAAAAGAACCAGCACACGTTTTATTTCTGCAAACTTTGGGAAAAGTACTACTTGTGAAAAACAAAGGGGAAGAAATCAAAACAAAGCCTGTTTTCTAACATTCCCCAGCCAGGACCAGAAACACACAGACAGAATAAAGAAAAGCAGTATCTGAGGATGATGTAAATCCACTAACTGGCAGGCTGCAGAGTGAGTAACTAAAGCGACTTAAAGGTGAAGAACATTCTGAATGCCAGGACAAATTACTTGTATATTAATCATTTACAATCTGGGAAAGAATTAAAATGCCACCCACTCTGCACTAAGCAGCATTTCTGGGGTTTATTGTGGTGGAATTATTACTTAAGTGGCAAAACATGAAGAAGTTTAACGAAATATTTTCTGCTTCACCATACATTTCAGTGCAATCATAGTTCAAGTCGCGTCAAGTCCTAACAAGAAAAAGTCTTTTTGTACCTGAATCTCTTGCTCATTTCAAAATGCAGTCAGGCACTGCATTCATTTATATCTGCACATTTTAAAACACAGGGTTTGAATGAAAACTATCCATACAGGTAAGTTTAATGCCATGCTTTCCAAGGCCTCTCTCCTCCCATCTCCAGTTCTGTTAATTCTAGCTGTTTGTTACTGCAATAGCTGTTGTGCACTACGAACACTGTGGGTGTGAAGGGGTTTGGAAAGGGCATCTGGTTCAAGGTTAGGCTGAGATAAAGCCATAACTTGCTTTAGACTTATCCATGTCTCATCTCAATTGTGTCATATGCCTGTATCTTCCTGTTGAACTGAATTATCTGATTCTGATACTGGGTATCAGCTGACAGACTTCTTGTTGAGCTTTACTCTTGCCACTGTGGTTTCACAATGAAGGATGGAGAAATCTCTATCAAATCTAAGGAAATTTGGGAAGAATTTCACTAGATAGTTTTAGAGTAAACTATTTGATAATAATCACTATTTTTCAAACACAAGAGTCAGCTGCTAAATATGGTTTTTGTAATAAAATAAGTACAATTATTCTCAGCGAAATTCATGAATGAAATAAATTTCATTAATTTCCAGTTCATTCTTAACAGTGGCTTGCTATTTTTATGTTAATCCAGACTACTTATATAGATTCTGCTGTTTGAAGCGTCCTATGCAACATCTGCAAAAGTAACCAAATGGAGAAACAACAGGAGCACAAGTTTACATAGGAAAAAAATCAGCAAGAGAAGAAAAGGCTTTAGGGCTTTTATTTAAGAGAGCCAAACACTGTTTTAACAGCAGAAGATGGCTGGGTTTTGAGAAGATTTCAGCTGAAGTCTGGAACTAATAGGTAGGAATAGGAAGTAATGTCATCCAAGCCACCCAACTTCAAGAGGCTTTCCAAGGTTTCAGCTTTGACCCACTTCAGTGCAAAAGCAACTCTGTTGATTGAAGAATAGTTTTGACTTCCTGCTTTACTGAAACAGCTAACAGTGCTCTACCATTAAAGACTGATCAGAGTCCCATGCCTCAGCTGCAACAGGTCCAGAGGTGCTTACATCTGTTTATATACTTCAGTGACCACTGAGTCTCAGTAAAGAAAGGAAATTGGTTGGATTTTGATCGTGTTCTACTCTTGTGCCATAACTGTTAAAGAGAAATCCATGTCTTGGGTCTTCAACCAACCATTCTAAAATGTCTTCTCCTAAGCCCATGTGTTTATTTATGAGTGCAGCTTCAAAGGGTTTAAATGCTGTGTTCAGAACAAAGGACACTCTATTTACCAGTAGATGTCATTTATGTTGCTTCTGCAGCACCCATACCTGACATGCTTTGTCAGAGCTTCTGATTTATAGAACCTGAAGTTATACCAGAGGACAATCAACAGCCCAGAAATACCCTAACTGTAAAATACCTCCTTCTGGCTGATTTGGCTTATTCAGTTTCTTCAATTAAACCTTATTAGGTCTTCATTACAAATGTTACACATCATGCAAAGCCTGTAGGTTTTGTTATTCCACCACCTTTTTGAGGGCAAAAAGAAACTTCCCTAAAACGAGACTAAAAATTCTTGATGGCCTATCTCCTGCTGTGTTTTTCATTCAGCATTGAAATATTCAAGGTAATCCAAAGCTTAACCCCACACGTTATGAAAATTAACATTTAAAATTAATTTATGTTTTAAATGACCTATAAAACCTTTCTTCTGAACCTAGGTTGAGATATCAGTTGCTTCAATATATTCAACACATTTAGCAGAATCCTATCACCTTATTTAATTAAGAATTACCTTTGCCAGCCACAGGATAAACAGAAGAGCTTTCTTTTGAGTTATTCACACAGTAGTAAAATAACACATGCAGACAGAGCAGCTGACAACATAAGCAGGGTCAGTATTAGGACAAACTGGCCAAAAAGAGCAGCTTTTGGCATAACTTTAATCAGTCTTTGGGTGCATGAAATGTCATGGAGTTTCATATGAAATGAAATGATCCCTTTCTCTTAGCTTATTTCTGTTCCAACTAATCCTCTAACTCTTTATTAAACATTATCTTCACCATCTGCTCTGGGTGAATGTTCAACACCTTGCAGAAGAACTCTGGGCTGATTGGTTTTTATGGGCAACATGATCCGAGTTTTATGCACATATTTAGGATTATGTCAAGGACAAAAAGGATGAATAATCCATTAACCATAATAAGCAAGAACCCATATCAGTGCAGCTAGAACATGTGTTATGTTTCAAAAACAAAAGATGAATTAGAGATATGTGGATCATAAAATACCCATAACCTAGGACCCTCTCTATACTAGGGCATCGTTTCATACATACACACTCCACTAAACAGCATTTCTGGAAATGATGTTTCAGTCATTATGAATCAGACTTTTTAGTGCTGAAATGGCATGTCCAAGCCTACAACATGCAAAGAAACAACTCCACTGAATTGGACATTTCCTCTAATGCAGAATAGATGGTAGCAAAATATCTGCCCCATACATAGGACTTTCAACCACATCTATATGGTCAATAACAGTACATTCTTCTATCTCCATACTTTTTGTAAGCCTCTAAAATACATCATTGAGGAACTGCTACTGTTTAAAGTCACAGTCTAAAAATTTACATTTCAAAAAGTAATTGCCAAAGGTCAGTCAAATGTTGCTATCAATTAGATCCACTTATTGCTTCCACTAGCTGATAACCACAAACATTAAAATAGCATTATAACTATTAATCATAATATTTAGTGTAATGTGCATCATCCTACCAAGACCTCACTTGCCACAAAACACATAATTGTAAGGGTTTGGTTCCTTGCTCACAACACTGCATGTAATTACTCACCACTTTCATCTGTTGCAATAATTTGTCTTCCTTTGGCTAACTTTTCAGACCAAAGTATTTACCCTCCCTTCCACTATAAAGGTTTATGATCCCATAATGAACAACAATTCTGATGGTATTTGATCACTTGGTGTATACTAATGATAGAAAGTATCTGGACAGTATGTCTTCACTCGTATCCTCTCAGGTTTGCACTAGACGTCCTCACAGTATGCTCTAAGCTGCAATGACAGACTGGTCTTGTAAACCTTTTCAGCAATTTGCAGATAATTATGTGACCCAGAGTGAGCAGTATACTTCACTGCTACATCATTGTATACATACAGGGAAAGATCAAGGGGTTTTATTCCTGTAAATCATCTGGATTTTCTTGATTTTGGCAGAACTATGCTAACTTTAGGCAACAGTGTGATCTGTACTGAAAGACCCAAAATAGCATTATATAAATTGACAATAGGTAACCTAGTATCTTCGTTTCCAAGTCCTTTAGCCACAGGCAGCATTCAGCGGTAGTAATAGGAAGGCAAAGAAAGTTGTGAATGCTCCATCCCTGGCAGTGTTCAAGGCCAGGTTGGACAGAGCCTTGGGTGACATGGTTTAGTGGGAGGTGTCCCTGCTCATGGCAGGAGGGATGGAACTTGATGGTCCTTTCCAACCCTAACTATTCTATGATTCTATATCTTAGAATCCTTCCATTTCATGGGAATATGTATGTACCAGTGGAATAAATATGACTTAATATGGCACATATTCTGAGTGCTGTCTACATTTCTGTACTTAAATATGTTTATGTCACGGAACTTCTCATGTAAATAACTGACTCCTTTAACACACACACACACTCACACACACAGAGTGCCTAAACTAACTAGCCTTTGTGAATCCCTCAATTCAGAATACAAACACCATTATTAAATGAAAGTATTCCAAATAAAGGTACAGTTAATATTCAGAATAAAGCCCATTTAAGATAGGATACTTCTATTCCCGGTAGACAGAAAAATGGATTCTAAACACGCAAGTCTGTTCAGAGGCCTAGGCCACTCACCAGAAGGCACTCTTACCAGCTCCCGTCCTAACCACTGAACTTCAAAGACTCTTCAAAAGTAAGGAATATTTTCCTGCTAATGCTTCCATTGAACCTCCTCCTACGAAAGAAATTCAGTTTGCTTTTCATACTGCCAATGTCCAAGCCAACAGGAATTTTAAAACAAAAGATAAACTTAGTACTCATTCTTATCTAGCAAATGTCTCTCCCCTCCTCAAGTCTTGTTTATGGACAAACATACATGTATGATTTATCTAAGGTAGGATAGTGGGAGATGTAGAAGAACCCTCTCCAAAATAAAAACCTTGAAAGTATAACAATAAGAAAGCAGAAGAGTTATGTAAAGCATTAAAGGGTAATAAAGATTTTATACATCTCTTAACTGTTAGCATGAGTAATACACAAAATGGATTTGATTTAGGTTACCAGCTTTTATCCAGATTATCCGGACTATCAGCATCTGGTTTAAGTCCCCTATGTAACCATCTGTAGTAATGTGACATGAAGGATTAGCCTTATCTGACACTTGTAATGAATATATGGGTGGAAGAAGAGGAATGAGTGTGAAATGGAGTACAATTGTTAAAACTTAAAATCAGTTGAAACCATATCTATATTTGCTGATTCTGATAATAACTATGGGGGTGGGTTGACTTCTCAAATATTAGCATATGTATTACAAACACAACATATTCTCATTGATTTTTTAATAGTAAAGCAGGCAAACTGAGAAAAAATGATCTGATTTATTTTTATATTTGACCTTTTAAACATAACTAGAACATTAAATAAAAATAAAGCCTAATTCTCCACGTTCAGTTATGACAGATGGGTGTGATCACAAAAACATCAAAGGCAGGTTTATCCTAATCCTGTAAAGTGATAAGTGCCTCCTGAAAGGTCCTGAGTACCTTCTAATCCTACTGAGGCTAGGCTGCAAGTGCATCAAGAGGTAACAAGGGTAATAGCGGGCCTTCCTGTCCATGGGAGGCCCAATATGCACCAAAAAGATCTGGTATGTTAGGAAACAACCTGATTTATCAAAACATAGAGATTAGAAAGTAGATGTATGTTTGTTTCCCACTCTCCATGAGCTTATATTGTATATACAGAATGGCCCTAGGCACAAAGCATGCAGCTCTTAATTCAGGAAATCTGGAAATTCAGGAAATTTCTCTTCCAGGCTCTGTTATTTGCACAATAATGTACAGTGCTCCAGGCCAGTATCTTTACCTCTTGGCATCAGCATCTTCTTTCCACAAATGGTGAAACTGGAATGACCCTGACAGATCACAAAGTTGTGCAAAAGTGACAAGACATAAGAATCTATGACTGTAACCAGTTCTAATGCATCAGAATGTATGATGAAAGCTGAATTTCTGAAGCAGAAAGAGAAACTCAAATTAAATCCCAAGAAATATTTTGATTTTGGGGTTTTTCCTTTGGTGCAATCAAATATTCAGGATAGAGAAAATGAGAATAAAGGATCCTACAGACAGGTAGCCCTACATTTGGAAGAACAACTGAATTAGAATGACTGTCAATCAGGTCAAGTTCACCAAGAACAATCTTTTCATTGTAAGATGGCCAGGTGAGAAGTCTAAACGAAGACTGGGATGAGCATTTGGAGGCTAGGTGGTATGAGAACACAGTAAACAGTGCTGCAGTAGAACGTAGCAGCTAATCAAACAAGATACATTGTGACAATGCCAACCGCTCCTCCCCAGCTTAAAACAAGCCTGCTAAATCATGAAGCAAAAATTCCTTGCACAGAGTCACAGATGATATCTAGGGCAGTTTAAGAACTAAGCCTCAGACAGTTTTCTCTCTTCTCAATGAAACTCTGGGATGATTCCTAACGGTTATATAACACATGGACACATGGGTATGTCATTTCCTTTGGTGAAACAGCCACAATTAATAGCCCATATTAAACAAAGGCTTCTTCATATATGTATTATTAGATACATGAGGTATCTAATAATATGCCCGCATGCCCATGAGGTAGTTTGGGTTGGGTTTTTGTTTTTGCTGTTACCAGGCAGAATGTCACTAATGACTACCTTTTTCTAAATCTGTGTGAGGCATTTCTGTAGCACATGCTGTATTGGCACCATTGCCCCATACTGCATGCAATTACTTTGTTGTTGCTGAGGGCCAGGCTCTAACAAATTAAATTTAGAGAAGGGAAATAGGCTTATATGCAAATGGAATTAAATGCTGACACAAGGATAAAACAGCACTGGATTTAGACAGGACTATCCCCCCAACTTTTTAACCAATCATTACATTTAAATTGAGCAGACAGATTCATCTTTGATTTAACTCCACTGTAATCAATGGAACTGAAGCAGGGATGAAGCCAGAGCAATATGGTTTTGACAGGTTTTATGCAATGGCTATCCAGAATGAAGGAGATGAAAGAGGTTTTTTTTGCTTATAATTTATGAAAGTATTTCCCCATCCCCAAATCCCTACATCAAGGAAATTAGCGCATAAAAATGGATAAAGTAGGCAGCTGCATTCCAAATACCAACTGCTGTCCCCAGGCTCTGTACCCATAAGCCCAAAGTCAAAGTATTTATCTGACTTACCTGTGATCCAGAAAGAATTCCCTAATGGTGTAAGTACAGCTGGGTAATTGCATGGTGTCTCTTCTTTATCACTTGCACTTGTGTAAAAACAATGTTTAGTGTTTCTATAATATTAGTATCACATATAAATAATATTCTCTGGTGATCTATAGAAGACCTAGGAAGAATAAAGACTGTTGGTCTGATCACTGCATTAGACAACATCTGGATTGCAGTAAACTTTTAGAACCCCTACTTGCCTTTTGTGCCTTTCTTACATGACTTCTCCTATACATGGCTTCCTCCTTTACCTGTCTTCACTGGTACTTCTTGTGGAAAGAATAAATTGTTTATCACAGTACTTTGTAAATTAATGTAGGACCAAAGGACTCTGGCAACATTCACTGTATATGGAACTAACGAACTAGGGATCATTGCTCATTCCAATCTGTCAGAACCTGATTTTTTTTGGCACTTTGCTCTTTGGCACCTAAACCTCTTCATTTTTCTCTCTCTTTCTGTTTTTTCACTGCTTCTTTTCAGCTGACAGTTCATAGCTTATTCATTTATTCATAGGTCTTATTTTTTGGGGGGATGGGGTGATGATTCTTTATTCAGTGGTGAGTTCAGAGGAATTACGGTTTGTTATTCCACACAGCCACTTCTCTGTATTAAAGCCATCAAGTGATAGAGAACTTCTGTACAGGCATGAAGTCTTACCCTTACTGTGTCACAGTTTTCACTCTTACATTACTTTCTCCCACACAGATTTCTAGCTTCTTCAGCACTGGAGACTATAATGCTATTTCAGGCAACTGCTAACTGTTAACTACTCATATATGAGGGAAGCATAACTTGGAAAGACTTCCTTAGGCTCTTATGACATGATCACCATCAGTCAGAGTTTGCAGATGATGTGGATGAAGTATGAGAATAGTACAGCGCTTTTTACCTTGATGACCATGGAGCCCTGGTCCACAACAGGAAATCAAGAGAGGTCTATTGTCAAGAAATAAGTCCATGCATTGAAAATATTTGTTAACTACTATAGTAGAGTTATCCTTAGCTGGCAGAGTAACCTTGGGACTATAGGTTCTTTAGGCAGACAGCAAGGCAGACACATTGCAAAAAAGGAAACTAATTTCAAAGCAAGTCTCACTTCAGATCAAATAGCCTTAACAAAGCATCTGTTTCCTTTCCACACCTTGGCTCTCATACATATAAACAAGAAGTAAGAATCAAACAGGACAAATAACTGCATTACACTTCAATTGGTGGGATTACAGGTCTTTGTTTACATTTGCTCTTCTGTAGCAGATCACTGGGAACATAGAAAAAGAGTGCTTATCCCTACTATTATACTAAACAAAGGTACTAGAATCAGGTCTGAAGCACATTCAAACTCTTCTCCCTTGCCTTCAAGCATATGTATTTCCTTCTTCCCCGCCAGTCTAAAAAAAAAAAAAACCCAAACAGATATTTGCTACCAATGCATTTTGCTTACTGGAGATTTCTGAAAGCATAATCAGAATTACTTTGGCAACATGCAGCCCCATCAAACTATGAATAACCAAGAGAATTACTGGGGTATCATGTATTTTAATGAAATGCTATTTTCAAAAAAGCCCACTTTAACTAAGTTATGAAGACATAAGCCAATAAAAAGTGAGGAAACCAACAGCTTTTATAATACACATCCAGCTTTATAGAGAAAGAGAAAATATCTTTGCAAGTACTTAACTGTGTAACAGGAAAATTAAGATTTTACAGGTCAGGTACAGTAACTTCCAGCACACAAAGTATGAAAGCCTGAGTATTCCCTTTTTTTGAGCAGTAAAGGCTTTGAGCTTCTACCCTGTTCCTATTTGTTACTACCTTCCCATCATTTATATTTCATTGATTTCAAACACAGAAAGTGGTCCATCAAAATAAAACCTTTTACAGACATTAGAAATTGTATTACAATCCTTCTGAATTTTCATCATGAAAAGTACAGTAATTTTCAAGCAATACAACTTTATGCTTACTTTCTGGAGTTCTAGTTCTAAACATTTTGTTCCGTTCAGTGATTCAGTGTGATCTGGTAGTAGCATACTCTAGAGTATTTATTCTTTAGAGAATTTATTCTTATGAGAAGAAAGCAGAGTTATAGATTGTAACTAAGATTAGCATGAATTCAAGGTTCTAAGCAAAACTAAGATACAGGACATATGTTACTGAAGAAGCCAAAGCTACATTAAGCTGTCCCTTTGAATATTACTAATATTAGTAAGTTTTGAACTCAAGCATTACAAGCATTTTCTTTTTCTAGTCTTTCAACAGATGAAGAACAAAGAGCATTTTAAGGAGAGAAACTTGCACTGGGTCTTATATCCATGAAAAAAAACAATTGCTGGATTACCGTCAGCCTCACAGAGTAACATTAAGAGCTTGAAACTCCAAGGCAAGTCCTCCACTAATTTTTAGATCTTTCTACTCTAGCTTTGAATTTCTCCTTTTTTGTCTACCAAAATACCCAAATTGATTTGTAGTTGCAAGAATGTTATTCTCCATGTGTTTCTTATGTCTGCAAAGAATCAGTTTCAAAACCAGTTAGGGCATTCAAACTGGAAGAGTTGATCAATTAATGAGTCAAATAAATAAATAATGAGTTAATCAATTCACGCACATATTATAGGGTTTTACACTGAAATAATAGGTGAAATGAATCCATGTAGTACTCTAAGATGCCTTTCAGCTCTGTGGGGTGACTGGCTGCTGCTCAGGGGAAGCTCTCAGCTGCTCTGGAGCCCCCTGCCGTAATGGGAACACAAACCTTGCTGGTGCCAAGGCGACAAGGGAGGCTGCCTTTGCCTGGCCCCTTCATCTGGAAGAGCTACCTAATTAAATCCACAGCTGCCAATGGTGCACAGCTCTCAGTCATAGCCATAACATCTTCTACTCTGAATATTCCCTCTTATTTTATCCTAATTCTAGAACCTTATCTCATTCTCTCACCCAAACTAAATGATGTTCCTAAAGAAAGTTTTATACTGCTTTGGGAATAAAGTAGTAAGTAAAGAAAAAGAAAAAAAGGATTCAAAATATTCAAGAGTTCAATCGTCATAAGGATCAAATAAATATCCAAAATAGAATCCAAAAATGGGTTCATGGTGAGAAAACACTCCATTAACAGATGAGCAGCCACAATATAGATAGGAAAAACAAATAGAAGTCAAAGGAATCATCTAAACACAGAACCCGAGTATTCAGTGAAAGGTTTTTACCACCTCTAATATGATGAAACATCCAGCTTGCAAATACACAGTCCAAACAGCGAAGGGGGGGGAAAGTTACATTTTCAACTCAAGTTAAAATGAACCATTGGATGGCAGTGAACTGTGAAACATGAGAATCTGGATCCTGTTTGCAGTCTTGACTTCTTATGAAAGCTGAAGGGGTCACCTCCTGATTCACTGCCTCAACAACCTTCATTCCCATTCTCAGAGCTACAGAAGGCATGGACCAGTTCTCACAGCAGGCACATCTATGCCAAAATCCAAACAGTGACAGAGGGGTATGAGTGCAAACACTCCCTGACTAGCTTTACTGGCCCACTCTATCATTCTAGTGAGATTTTAGCTGCCCAAATAAGCACTCAGGATATCTGGCAGGTTTCTGCATCCTGTGCTGTAGTCCATGCTTCCTGTCCAAGTCTCTTGCTAAAGTTTCTTTCGGCTGTACCTCCCAGTCCTTCAGTACTACCATTTAATTACAGCGTGCAATAGTCACCAATCAACCAGATCTCTTAAGCACCACTTAACACGTAAAATTAGGTGCTGCTGAAATATAAGCAACTTCCTTGCACTGGTAGTTTGTTGTTGATAAACTAGCCCTGCCTTCCTTCAAATTTGGTATTTAGAAGCATTTCCTGCAATTCTGAGCAATTCATCCCCAGCTGCCCATTGTGTAGATCCTGCAGTTAGTGTATTGAGCAGCCAAAGAGCCAGTCAATGCCCTCCACACCAGTCCCTGCAAAACAGAACAGACACATACCCACACCCAGCCAGGGAGCAGATGTACTGCCTCCTTGTGCAAGCACTGCAACCACCACTGCACAGGTGTTGGTTAATGCCAGCAATATGCATATTTCCTGTGCTGAGGGGAACTACATCTTTCAGGAATCGTATCAGGCTCTGGCAAAAAAAAAAAACAACACAGCTAGGGAGAACATATTTCAATATGAGTGAGCTAATTATTATTTTGGCTGCTAAAGCTTTCTAACAGCCAAAATATAAAGTCCAGCTGGCAGGTCCTTCCGCCTGCCTGAAGGAAATAACCCCAATTTATAGCATAATCAAAAATCATGATTCCATATTTTGGGGGGTTTATAAGTTACTGCCAATACATCGGCCTATGGAAAAGCCTCAGCTTGCTTTCTAAGTGACAGAGTGCCAGGAAGAAAAACTTTCAATGTATGCACATTTACTGGCTCTGCAGTGGTTTAAAAAGCACAAGGGACTGCCTGGCTGGAAGCGAGGGGAAGAGAAATACCAGTCAAGTCAGGACTCTGTGAATCACATAGTCCCATGCAATTAAGGGGCCATTGTTAATTTTCAGATTGTTATAAATCCATTGGAGAATTTGAGACAATCCAAAACCCAATTACAATAGAATGAAGAAGAGATTGGGCAATCAGCTGAAATGAAATCCAGCCCACAGAAACAAAATGCTGCAAAAACCAGCCCTGAAATATGCTGGAAGAATAAAAAGCATATGGAACTGAGCAACTGTGCACATATAGTCTCTAAAAGACATGGTTATTTGGTGTGAAGGCAGAGGGTGTTGCTGAACCCTGTTTTGCTCAGGTCTTACTTGTTTCAGTCAATTATATGCTAAGAATATTGAAAGTACCACAGATGTAGAAAGAAGCAGCTGTATGGTTTTCACTCACTATACCTGTGGTAAGAAATAAAGAAATCTATCTCAAAAATACACTACAGCACTACTTGCCCTGAAACCGCATTCTAAGTACACACCTGCAATGGCAGATACATTTTTTCTACATCTCATATCCAAACCAGTGCACCACAAATAGCAGTTTGCAATGATCAAAACA